GTCCTGTAAGCCTGTGTACTTATGCACAAAGCGTTGTACGATCAGATTACACACATGTGCCATGCACGGCACATGTGTCAACTTGCCCAACTTCAATGTCGCTAACAAATTTGTTCCGTTGTCACAAACCACTTTGCCGATATCCAGTCGCTGCGGAGTCAGCCACTTTTCCACCTGTGCGTTCAGGGCGGACAGGAGTGCTTGTCCGGTGTGACTCTGCTTTCAAGCAAGTCAAACCCAAGACGGCGTGACACTGCCGTATCCGGGATGTGGAATAGTACCTGGGGAGCTGGGGGTGTGCCGCTGATGTGGAGCAAGACGCAGCAGCAGAAGAGGACTCAGCCGAGGAGGTTATGGAAGAGGATGGAGTAGGAGGAGTAGAGGAGGTGGCAGCAGGACTGCCTGCAAGTCGTGGCGGTGTCACCAACTCCTCTGCAGAGCCATGCATTCCATGCTTGGCAGCAGTCAGCAAGTTTACCCAATGCGCAGTGTAGGTGATATACCTGCCCTGACCATGCTTTGCAGACCAGGTATCAGTGGTCAAATGGACCCTTGCCCCAACACTGTGTGCCAGAGATGCTATTACTTCCTTTTGCACAATTGAGTACAGATTGGGGATTGCCTTTTGCGAAAAGTAATTTCGGGCCGGGTACCTTCCACTGCGGTGTCCCAATAGCTACAAATTTTTTGAACGCCTCAGACTCCACCAGCTTGTATGGTAAAAGCTGGCGGGCTAATAGTTCGGACAAGCCAGCAGTCAGACGCTGGGCAAGTGGGTGACTTTCTGACATTGTCTTCTTACGCTCAAACATGTCCTTGACAGACACATGACTGTGGGAAGATGAGCGTGAACTGCTCAAGGCGGAAGGCGGAGTGGCGGATGGTTGAGAAGGGACAAGGAGGACAGCAGTGGTTGACGTGGCTGAAGATGCTGGACCAGGAGGAGGCTGGCGGCTTAGAGTAGGCGAGCTGCTTGTACTCATGTGTTGATCCCATAGGCGCTTGTGATGTGAGATCATGTGCCTACGCAAAGCAGTTGTACCTAGGTGGGTGTTGGACTTCCCACGACTCAGTTTCTTTTGGCACAGGTTGCAATGGCATCGCTGTTGTCAGAGGCAGACACACAAAAAAAATTCCACACTGCTGAGCTCTGCAATGACGGCATTCTGGTGGTGGACACAGCATGCGTTGATTGGCGTGTTGTCGGGCTGACCCCGGGTGTCGATGCATGCTGTCTGACTGTGCCACTAGCTCCTTGCGACGACCTCCCCCTGCTTCCAACTCATCTCCTCCTCCTCCCTGTCTCCCATCTGAACTTTCGCCCTGTTCTTCTTCTTGACGAGCGGGCACCCACGTGACATCCATGGACGCATCGTCATCATCAACCGCTTCACTTGTATCTGACAACTCAGCAAAGGAAGCAGCAGCAGGTACAACATCATCATCATCATCACACCGTACGTCCATGTGTGTAATGATGCCTGCCTGAGACATATCCCTGTTATCTACATCCTCTGGCAATAATGGTTGCGCATCACTCATTTCTTCAAACGGATGTGTGAATAACTCCTCTGACATACCAACCGAAGCGGCTGTGGTGCTAGTTTTGGTGGTGGCGGCAGGCGGTGAGTGGTATCTTGAGAGGTGCCTGAAGCTAAGCTGGAGGAGGATGGTGCGTCAAGGTTCTGAGCGGAGGCTGTGAAGATTGGGTGTCCTGTGTTAGCCAGTCAACTATGTCCTCAGAACTTTTCAAGTTCAGGGTACGTGGCCTCTGAAAACTGGGCATTATTCTAGGGCCAAAGGGAATCACAGCACCACGACCACGATGGCCCCTGCGGGGTGGCCCGCCTCTGCCTGTCATTTTTGTTGGGATTAGTGGTACTATGCGTGCAAGCTACTGTGAGACCAGATATGAGTGGCAATGTGTACTGGCACAGTTGTGCAGAGCACAGGCTGTAGGCCTGACACCGCTAAGTGACACTGACTGCTATTCACAATCTATAACAGTGAAAAAGTGTTTTGTTTTTTTAAATCCAAGCTTTGTGTCACC